AACTCATTACAACATCCCTGAAACTACAAAACATACTATATCGGTATTTAACTCATTACAACGTCCCTGAAACTACAAAACATACTATATCGGTATTTAACTCATTACAACGTTCCTGAAACTACAAAACATACTCTATCGGTATTTAATTGATTACAACGTCCCTGAAACTACAAAACATACTCTATCGGTATTTAATTGATTACAACGTCCCTGAAATTAGAAAACCTATATTGAGCTGATTACATTCAGGCCTAGTCATGAACTTGTCTAGTAGATGTAAGAATTCAATATGACCACTAGGCCCGTCATAAGCTTGTTTAGTAGATGAAAGAATTCAATATGGCCACTAGGCCTAGTCATGAGCTTGTCTAGTAGATGTAAGAATTCAATATAACCACTAGGCCTAGTCATGAGCTTGTCTAGTAGATGTAAGAATTCAATATGGTCTCTAGGCCTACTCATAAGTTTGTCTAGTAGATGTAAGAATTCAACATAGGATATAGTTTATATGGATACAAAAACTATTAAATACATCGCCGTCACATGTTTTAAAGCTCTCTAGCCAATAGTAACTTCTGAACGTGATTGACCCGACATTTAAATTAAACCTAAAATACTTTGAAACAAAATACAGAATGACGAAGACAATTTAATTTGGTATTATTAATTAGTCGGTTATATTAAATCTAGCGTAAATCAATTACTATCCTATATCGTACAACATCAACCTGTTAGATGATTTCAAACAAACCAAATCTTCTGGACTGGAGATGTATATTTTCTTCATCAAATCCCGTTTTAAGTTTGCTTTCTTATTATGTGGTTTTAGAGACTTCCAGTGACCTCTCTATATGCTGAAACTATCCTCTTTTCCAGAATAATAATTTCAAACAATATCCCGATGATATTGTTAAATACTGATTGAGTCTGTTTGTATAATTTCAGACACACTAATGGTTATATTGAATTCTTACATCTACTAGACAAGCTCATGACTAGGCCTAGTGGCCATATTGAATTCTTACATCTACTAGACAAGCTTATGAGTAGGCTTAAAGGCC